TAATTATGCCACAAAGTATCCCTAAAGAATGTGATGATCAGTTTTGCTTGCTCTTTAACTTTATGTACATGCTAATGAACGGTACAGAGCATTCTGCAAATCATTTCTTTGGTTGTTGGCTCAAGTTGAAGGACATGATCAGGGCTGACTCTGTGCTGCAGTTGGCACAGACAGCGAGACTCTGCACTTTTGAACGTGTCTCTCAGTTCACCCGGCACATTTCCAGAGAGCGTGCACACCTATAGAAATGAACTCACTGGGCCAAAGAATGTACACATCTTTCATTTTACTGGATAATACCAAATCGTTTTAACAAAAATTGCTGTATGCATTTTCTCTTACTTTCTACATGCTAGCAATCATATGTTACTGTAAAACTATCTTTGTCAGCCACTTGATTTCTACTAATAATGCTGATGTTTATACATGTTCACCAACCTTGGGGTTTCTCTTCTGTGAATTGCTTATGTCTTTTGTCCATTTAGTTCTATTTTCCTATGATTGTTATGAGTTTTTAGTATATTCTGGATAACAACCCTTTTTTTTTATTGTATTGTATGGGCTACAAATATCTTCTCTCAATTTTTTACTTCTCTTTCCAAATTCTTTATAGTGTCTTTGAAGATCAGACTTTTTTAGTATTACTGTGGTCAAATTTATCAACCATTTATATGATTTGGAATTTTGCATCTTAGGAAATCATATAAACATTCTCCTACATTTCCTTCTAAAAGGTTTAAATATTGCCTTTCATATTTGAATCTTTAATTCATTTGGAATCCATTTCACGAATGCTATGAGGCGAATCAACTTCATTCTACTCTGTGCACACAGCAGATTTTCCTGGCAGCACTTGCTGGCTCACCCTTTCTCCCCTGACCGGCAGCGTCAGCTCCATATTATTCTCAAATTGGCATGAAGGGGCCGGTCTGTTTCCGGACTCCACTCTGTGGCACGGGTCTACCTGTCAGCTGGTGAGACTGCCCCACACTGCAGCAGGCACTGTTACTTTACAATGAACCTTGTCTCTGACAGAACAAGTCCTCGCAAACTGTACTTCCTCAGGAGTATCTCGACGACTCTGGGTCAAGTAGTCGAGATACTCCTGAACTTCAGAACATGCTCCGTATATGTTCTGAAAACATCTTGTTAAGCTCTAAAATAAATAAATGAGTGAATAAGTAAATAAGTGAATGCCTTATTTAAATTCTAACTGAAACTCCATGGGACATATAGATTAATTCTGAATAATGGCATTTTTCACAACAGTGAAGCTTCCCACCTCTCCAATTTATGTAGGTCTCTGTGAATGTCTTTCCACAGGTCTTGAGCTTTTGCTGAACTCATGTCAGCTATCTTATCTTTTTGTTGCTGTGATAATCGGTCTCTTGTAAAAAAGTCACAGAGACCCTGGGACTACATGACACAGCCCCTGCCGTGCATCCACCCTGTGCATCGGTCACCATGCACACAGAAGGCAGTACAGACCCCTCTTAGGCATGGAAGCCCCCAGTCAATCCCAGAACATCTGATGGCCCACCACTGCCACACGGCTCCACCTTGAACCTACCATCTACACATCAGGGACACACGATTCTGATTTTATCCACATTTTTCTTTCCTTCAACCCCCTCTCATTTCTGAAAATCCATCTTCTATTTATTGTTCTTACATAACGCACTTTAGCTTCCTTACCCTGCTCCTGGCCATCCTACAAATCATGGAGCCCATTGTACATTTAGGAGGCCCAAACACTGATCTGTCTTCTGAGCAGCCACTCTTCCCGTTGTTACAAGTCTGTGAGCCACCAGTCAGTGTTCCAGACCACTTTTCTGAAGGTATGGCACTTACGTAATCTGCCTTCACGCAATTTCTGCCCATCAGTCCTAGCCTTCCTTTCAGTGTCTCTATGGAATACGCATAATTTTTCATTAACAAACTGCCTTTAAAATACTTGAAGCTGAGAACAGTATTATCGTAAGAATCCTGGAATAAGTGGAGGCTAAGGAAGAGCCTGTTGTTTAAGCGACTGCTCTAGGGAATCCAATTGCACTAAGACTGCGACCCTTTCCCCTACCACGGTCTCTCTGACGTGCCTGTCCGCTGCTCTCAGTCCGATGTGGACATAACTAGGTCCGGAGCCACAGACGTGTCTAGTCACTCCAGGGCACTTAGGTACAACGTACACAACTGCTGTTACTCAGTTACTCCAGCACTAAGGAATGACAAACGCTCAACACGGCAGCACGGCAAACGTATCTTTCACATCTGGAACATGTGTAACGCTGGACCACAAGACTGTCACAAACCTAGAGGGATTTAAGGTTTGTTCGGGCTCTCAGTGAGAAGACAATTATTGTTTTTGCTTTGTGTGTTATGATAAAAAAAAGAGCATTCAAATGTATTGAATAATAAAGGTGTGTATATATTCTATAAAAAATTTAATGAGCTATTTAAGTGGCCTTAGTTGACAGAGAACCAAACAAACGATGTCGAGATATAATTTTCATGTGGTAAATTTGTGCATACTTTGAAAAGTGGTTTTATCATTCTAAAAATTTACAATAATTTGATTCTGAGAGTCACACAATGCATCCTCCCCCTGGGACACTGTGCCCCAGAAGAACAGGAGTGCGTGTGAGGAAACAGCTGCTCAGTTGCTGTCCTTTTCCTCCTCTTTCCTTTCTGAGCCCTTCGCTCTCCCCTTCCCTGCTCGTTCTTCTACTACTTCATTCGAACATCGTTTTCACTGACTTATACTTGATAATCCTTTTGCTTCCCTGAGCTGCCTCACAGCCTGAAAGTATGCTAATCAATAAAACATCCAGTGCTTGGGAAGCAAATCCGAACTGGACCGTGTCCAGGGGCAGGGACCGGGGCAGCACAGAGTACTGGGTCTGAGGGGCAGGAACTGGTAGGACGGACAGACTGCAGCCAGTGGACGCTCCCTGCTGCAACGAGGCATGTGTTGGAGACGGGGCTGGGGGGATCCTTAAGCGCCTCTTGGTCTGTGTCTGGTCGGACGTTTTATTTCCTTTTCTAAACCTCTAGGACTTCAGCGTTCCCTAGCAACAGAGGCGAAGGATCAATTTAGAAAAGTGCTTTCCAAAGCATTCTTATCTAGCTACTGACCAAGCCATTTTGTTTATGTGATCAAGCAATTGAAATTCAAGGAGATTTATCACTGACTGTCCTTGGCAGCAAAACTGGAAGAGCGCCTCTTGATGTGTTACCACTAATGTCTGAGATGACTGATTCTACCTCCACCGCACAAGCACAGACGGGGTTCTCTGCATCTCCCTGTGAACCGACAGTGTTGCTAGGGAAACTGATAATTACGTGGTAAAATGGAGGATAGAGAAGGGAAAGCGGGTGCAGAAGAAATGTAAGGTTTTGATCTAAATCAGCATGTTAATAGTGCAGCTTGTTGATCTTCTGTAGTCATAGAATTTCATAAACATCATTAATTACATGTTTGACAAGATACAGATTTCTGAGCTGAAAGAACTGAGCGGAGATGACCCGGCCTCTGGGAAGGTCCTGGTTGCTGATCGAGCCTGTGCAGACACCACGGCAGGGCACATGTTTACTATGAAGCACAACTGCTTTTAAGAGTTAAAATATTCAAAAACAGGAAAAAAACATGGGTTTGATTTCTAAAATCTTATTTTAAAAATCACTATTATGAAGTTCCAGATATAAAAACTGTAATTCTATAAAAGCTCTAAATGCTTTCTTTCACCTCACAGACTAAGTCAGTCCTACAGCCTCAATACACCCTTGGGTGGGAGAGAAAGCGTTCCTATTTATATATAACAGGCAGTAAAACCGTCCCCGCTGAGCTGAAGGACCTTAATGAAGTCACACAGCTCTTCAGTAGGTGGCAGTGCCAGAGCTAAAGACTCGAATTTAAGCTGCCCAGGAGGCATTATACAGAGGTTATATCTTTGTAAGAGAAAACCCAGAAAAGGGATATTAAACTAGTGAATGCATGCACATTTCTAGATATCACTTTAGTTTCAAATGAAGATTTCTGATACTTTTCATTTTTGATGGCTAAGAGTTTCGCTCTAAAAGTTAACAATTTGCTCCAAATACTTGTTTATAAAAGAGTTTCACTGGAGAAATTTCAATGCTCCAGTGATGGTGGGAAAGACCATCGAGGGAAGTAGCCTCCCAGCGAGCAGAGCGGGCCCGTGCCCAGGGCTGGCCTGCCCGACCCAGCCCCGACCCGGCCCCGACCGGCCCCGACCTGGCACTGCCACTCGGTCTTCCTGCCCCGGAGTCACCAGGTAGCTGTTTTCACCAAGAGTTAAACATCCTCCTGTGTATTTATAATGACAAATTCTTGTGCATTTTCTAATTTGTATATGGACTACAGACACTGAAACATTCACTCACATTCACACACACACAATTTATGTCTGGGTGTGTATGTGTGGGAGAAAATCGGTGATTTACTTACGGCTGGTGTATGAAAGGAGACAACCATTTTTATAAAGAAAATGTGTCCAGTGTTTTGGTCTTTGACAGAATAAAAGAATGAGAATTACATTTTGGACAGCAAGAGAAAAACACAAAACTTATATAGAACTTTTTAACTCAAATGAATTCTAAGAGCTGGAAGTAAACAGTCAGCCTTCTGATGTTATGTAAAAGATCTTTAGTGATTTAAAAATTTCAAGCCTTACTCATTAAAATAAAAGTAGTGTAGTTCAATCAGAATGAGATAAACTATCACTTTAAAGCAGTTTATTAAGTTTATCAACATTATGACGGTTTTAAAGTATTTGGCTTAAGTTAGAATTTTGTTCCCTTACATCAAAGCATTTATTTTTGATATCAGAGTAGCACTAAATGATAAATTCTTTTGATAAAGCTTTTCTTCTTTCCCAAGGCAGGAAGGCATTTTCAGCTTTTAAAGCCCTGGATAAGAAAAAGAATGTAAAGCCACATTTTACAGGCATTAAAAACAATGTTTGTGAGCAGGCTAAACAAACCTTGACTCAGGCCGTCCTGACAAGACATCTGCTTGACGTCCAAGTTCTCCATGGTATCTGCTTTAGAGACTTCACCAAGAGATGTTCTTCTCTCGAAGATGTTGTTGTTATTATTGACTTGAGTCCCATTTTGCTTCAGTAGCCTGAACACCTCAGCTTCCAAATCCCTAATCTAAGGGGAAAAAATCCATTTATAAAACTCTAAACCAGCACTTCTGTCCAAGGGCCAGGCAAATCTACCCCATTATTAAGTGGCTTTGATTTCATAACTCACCCGTACTTGTAGGCCTTGAACTTCCACAACGTGAGCTTTTTCCAAATCTTCTATTTTCTTTCTTTCTGCCTCCTGTCTCTTGATGAAATCAAGTTCTCTTAAGAAGAAAATAATAAGGTATGATTGCATCAAACACTCAAAAAATGAGAAAACATTTGGAAGTTCTTATCGGAAGCAATAAATTGCAGTGGTATAATAAATACAGCTATTTAAAGAAAGAAAACTCAGTTACAGTTAGAGAAAAGGTATATAGCAATGAAAGCAAGTAAAATATTTTAATGGATCACAAAGCAAATAAAAATGCTTTGATTCTACTTACTAAGCCTTTCATCTCTATCTCCTGATTCTAGAGCACCCACATATCTTTAGATAAGAGCTAATAAACTAATGACCCACCTTGAGCAATTTAGTGGAGATAATTACGTGCTAGGTAGATATAATTCTCCATGCACAAAGTGATAAACCTAGTAAACTGACAGAACTGAAAGGTGAGATAATTATAAGAAGGTTTCCTATGAATGACGGTGGAAAAGGGCTGGGGGGTCCGAAGAGCTGAGGGGAGCTGTCACTCACACAAGTGAGGATAACTGGGGAGGAGAAACATCTCCACTTTGAGAGCCTGGAATATAGAATGCAAATTTAGCAAAACTTATTATAAAGTTATTACATTAGAGTTTATGATATGTTTGGCAAGAAAAATTAAAATAGTGATGTGCTGAATTAACAGTTATGAAGAGCAATTTCCCCCTTTCAAACTTTTTTAGATTATAATTTCCATTTTATTTTATTTATTTTTTTAATAAATAAATTGTGTGGTTGCCTCTCGTGCATGCCCTGCTGGGGGCCTGGCCTGCAAGCCAGGTATGTGCCCTGGTTGGGAATTGACGACCGGCGACCCTTTGGTTCGCAGGCTGGCATTTAATCCACTGAGCCACACCAGTCAGGGCTTATTTTTTTTAATTAAAATCTGCAAATGCCCTAAAATTCAGTGTGTTAAGAAGAGTTGTGTCAGCTCCCATCTGTCTTTTTTTTAACTTTGTTATTTTTATATTTTATTTCTATAGCATTTTCTTTTATATATTGAAGGCTTGGCATGGCCAGAAGAGATACTGACATTCCTTTTTATTGTTGTAGTTAGCCAGAAGTAACTGATGGAAAAATCCAATAAAAATCTCCTTGGTCAGTCTCCCTGAAATTACACCACCATCCAACAGATGGAGGCAAAGCAGCATCAGCTCAGAAAAAGCTGTTGAAATTCAACAGCAGAATGTGTGCTGATGGTCTCTCTCTTACCACTGGGAAATGGCAGGGCACGGGGTCTTGCTAGTCAATATTTATTCTGTTTGCCCTGGGAAAATTCCGCAGTTACCGATGATAAGAACAGAGACAGAAACGGCCTCGGCAAGGCCCCAACTGTGGCTTTGCACGTACCGTCCTGCTTCTGAATCACAGGGATGTTTCCAAAAGGACAGAGATTCAAATGTTTTAACAGTTCTTATTAATGATTAGTGAGCCAAAGAAAATTTCATGATGTAAATGGTTTCCAAAAATTGATACAATAAACAAAACATAATCTCCTACAAAAAAAATAATAGCAGCGCTTTCCAAAACTTAGTCTTTATTTTTGGCTTTAACTATGCTTCTTAGAGTGGTGACTCTGAGAGGATCTTTTCTGTTCCACTTTTCTATTCCACTAGACATTAAAAAATGATTGAATATAAACCTTCTCTACATGAACGCAAGTGTCCTTTGGTCATCAGAAGCTGCTTACTTTTGTTGGAAGTCCTTGATCAGCTTCTTAGCCTTGTTGTACTTCTTCTCCAAGGCCTGGTACTGGCTCTGCGTCTCTTTGAGGTGTTCGTTCACTGTGTGGCACAGTGTCTGGGCCTCGATCCAGTAGCTCTCCAGCTTCAACATCCTCTCTTTATTCTCCTCGATATTCTGCTGGAGTTGAGTTTTCTCTAGTTCCCACCTCACTTTCTCGTTTTCTGCTGCTTGAAGCTGGTTTAAAAAAATGTCAGGGCAAAGAGAATCTGGGTACTTTTCTAACAAAAATCCCTCACATGTCTATACCACGTTCTTGATTAAACTCAATGGTTACATATATTCAATCACCAAACACCTTGAAAGGAGGGGAGCAGGCATTATTTTCATAATTTCATGGATTATAAAATGGAAGCCTTGCAAAGGAAAATACTTCGTCCAAGGTCACACAGTGCGTAAGTGACAACACAGGGGTTTCAGTCCAACTCCAGTATTTTTCCATCACAGCGCACGGTGTGAAGTTCAGGCAGCAGTAAAAATTGTTTCAGAGTCTGACTAACCCTACCTAATGCATTTCCACAGGTTTCTTCAGAGATTTACAAAAACAAACAAACACGTGTAATTATATGTGAAAAGAATTAAGTGGAAAGGGAGGGAAGGGAGATGAGCATGGAGGAGGGGGGCAGAAGCAGAGCTGGCTGACTGGTCGGCAGGGGGAGGCTTCTGGAGCCATTAGGTTTAAATCTGAATCCCAGCTCCGCCACTATTGGCCTTTTTTTACATTTAATGTACTTTAAAAAAATTATATTTGATTGATCAGGCTGTTACACTTGTCCCAATTTCCCCCCTTTTCCTCCTCCACCCAGCACCTCCCCCCCAGCTCAGGCCACCCCCACAGCGTTGTTCACGGCCAAGGGTCATGTGTAGGTTCTCTGGCTGCTCCATTTCCTATACTGCACTTTACATTCCTGTGGCTATTCTGTGACTATCTATTCGTACTTCTTAATCCCCTCACTTCTTTTTTAGTGATTAGTAATTATTTTTTCATTTATGGTTTACATTCAACATTAGTCTGTGTTAATTTGAGATGTACAGCAAAGTGGTTGGAAAATCATGAACTTTACAAGTGCCTCCCCCATTCCATGATTCAAGCACCTGTCGGGTCTCCCATACCTAGCCATCGAGATGCCACTGTCGGCCTTTAAACCCTGGGCAAGTAACTTACGTTCTCTACCACCAGTGTGCTTGGAACAGCTCCTTGTGCAGAGTACTAAATCTGATAAATGTTAGTTACTTTTGTTTTTATTCCTTTTGATAATATTATCACATCCTTGATTTCAATTGACATACATTGAATAGTTTCTAGCTCATTATTTTGCTGGTAGTGTTCTGAGCCTTATAAACCCCAATCTTCATAAAAGTAATAAAAGATAGTGTAAGTAAAAAAATTAATTATTGTCAAATTAATTTAAACTCCTCCAATGGAAGAGAAAGGCAGCTTCTTGTGGTTTCTACTTCCAGGGACTATTAGGAATAGGTAATATACTAGTTCTACCCCCTTATTTCTAAGGACTGTCAAGGTTGATTCTTTAGGTGAGGGGTCCAACGTCATTTGTTCACAATAATTATCTGACCTTTAAACTAGTGCTTCATCTGTTTCACATGCCTTTTTTGAGGTTCAAAAGGGTGCTGAATCATTATAAACTATCAATTTTTAAAATCTAAGACATCCCCAAATTATATAGCATTCAACAAATAAAAAAGTGTTTATGCATATTTTAAACTAAATGTATTGCAAAACAGAGTACAAAGTAAATAACAATGAAAAACATTTCAAAATTAAAAATTGTGTTACCAACACGGACATAAAGAGTTGCAGTAAGGTAACCTAATCTATGGATATTATATGCCAATAATAATGATGAGAAAAATACAAAATACTAACTTACAGGATTTCTAAATTAAATGCTTATAGTCAAAAACATAAGCTTTGTTAAAGCACTTACAATCACAGGGGAATCTTCTCCCTAACTGTAACCAACAATTAAAGAAATACTTCTGTTCTTCTATTCTATGCCAAGAAACAATAGCAACTTAAAATGGGACTGGGATTTTACTGCACCCTTTGTTAAGCACTGTTTTGCCCTCAAGTTGTTTATTTACCAACCACTACTAATTAAAAATTATTATTCACAGAGCTTGGCTGATACCATGAATGATATATAGACATGTTTTGACTAACGAGCTACAGAAATATTAGCTACAGAAATACAGAATACCATTTAACCAAAGTAGCCTTGCAAATTCATCTCCATTAAAAACACAAGGAAAAGCTGAAACAAGTGTTTAGTGTGAACAGGAAAACAGATTGTTAGTGGTGGGGAAGGAATTATGTCTTAATTTTTAGAAGATCACAAAAACGATAAAGAATACTGTTTTAAAAGTAATTCAAAAGATACTTTTAAATCTCTGAAATTACATACTTGATAAAACTAGACACAATTTTAGAAACTGATAAGAACCTTACAACTCACCAATAAAATGCCCTTGTGAATCTTGTATTATCTAGAGACTAAAATACGTAAAGCCTTTCATCATGACCTGTTCTTCCCCCAGCAGATTCAAATATGAACTAAATGACTAAAAATTTCCAGTAACATCTGGCACCAACAAGCAATTATTCATATATTATATTAAGCTTCATAATATTTAATTATTAGAAATGGATTTTTTTCTATACAAAATAATTAATGTACTATGTTAAAATACATTGTTTCTGATGAATAAATAAAAAACCAAATGAATACACCTACTTAAAATAAGACAAAGAGAAAGGGATACAGAGTAATCGCTTCTGCCTAAGGAATTAGTGGTCAAAATGTAATTTGGTGTGTGAACCATTAAATATACTCTGAGGGGAAAGGTGAGAGGAAACCCCGTATGTGTAAATATGTAAATACGTATTTGTAAAATGCTGTGCAATTTTCCCTACGGGGCACAGTGCTGCTCACACTCCAGGATGCGTGCTCTTATTCGCAGGTTCCTCTGGGCATCCAACAGTGGAAATGAGTCTGATATTTGCATTCTTTCACGTGTACATGAACCGACCCCTTATTCCTAGGGCGGCATTTATTCATAGCCTCCAAAGTTTAAAAGGTACTGTTCAAACACCATGTGCTGATTGGTGGTGCCTACCTTGGTCTTCAATTTTTGAATCTCTGCTTCTGTAACTGCATGTTTGATTTGCAACTGAAATTTGAAAAGAAAGAAAAATCAGAACTGAGAAAGTGTATCTATAATTTTCAAGCCCCAGCCAATAAAAGAATATCGTGTTACACAGCAGAAACCCCAGGAAAGCACTGCAATGCAGCAGGTTGTAAATTAAAATGTCTAGTGCGTAAAATGACTCACTAGGTACAAAGTAATTATACGGAGGGTCTATGGCCCACACTCCCTAACATCGGATTAAGTTACAAATTTAATTGCTCAGGGACCAAAGGGAAGAAAACACATTTTTTTTGCCCCCCTTTTGCAGCTCTTTATGATTTGAGTGCCAAGGAATTGTTTTCTTGCAGTGCTGTGGATTGAAGCTTCCGCCAGCAAGTCGGGTTAGTGGCAGTGTGAAGATTTGATTCCGAATCTGGAAGAAAGGTGGCGCCGTGGCACCGTGAGTCACTAGGCTGAGCAGCTCTTTGCAGTTCAGGCTTTCTGCAAAGGGATGATGCAGTTCCAGGTCGAAATCCATGTTTATTTTTTAATTGCAAAAAAGGTAGAAGTCTATATTTCCGTCCTTTAAAATACCTACTTATGTTGAGGGCCCGGGGCCACCCAAAGCTACAGCTACAGTTTACCAGCACCAGAGCATCCCCAGCCCCATTTACATTTGTTTTGCTTCACCCCTCCTGCACCCGTTTTATCTGTGAAGGAAGGAGAAAACAAAGTATTCCTTATCCTTCAGGGATAAATAAATACACCAACATTTACGGAAAACAATATGTGGGTTGGCTATCTCCTCTCTGAAATCTTTGGGGCTAGATGATTTTGGAATTCATAATTCTTCCCATTTCTGAAAGGTAGAAAGATGTGTTCTCCATCAATGGCATTTTACCACAGCAGGGTGGGGGAGGAGGCACTCTCTGCTCAGACACGTGAATATTTTTGCATAGGACTATTTCCACTAAGTGAAGTACATAGAAATTGTAAATAATCTCCTGTCAGCTTCAGCCATTTTTGCCCCCAAGTGAGTTTGTCACAAAATTATTTTAGAAATCTGTTGTCAGACCATTTTGGATTTAGGATTGAACAAGAGGGACTGTAAACCTCCAATATTACTGTAATAAAAGAAGTCTAAGGTTTTCTTATCTGAAAAAGGAGTCGGCTGATGGCGGGTTAGAAACGTGAACCTTTGGAGATCACGGTGCCTCAGAAGCCTCGGCTCTCTGATTTGTGACCTGCATCTCCCTGGTTTTTACCTGGCTAGAAGTCAGAATCAGCACAGGTTGATTTAACACCCTTAGATGCCAAGGAATAAAAAGCTCAGCCCTGAGGGCCCCCAAGCTCCTTGCAAAATGCTCTCTCCTTGGTAATTTCAGGGCTCCAGCTCTGTTTCAAGCCCTGGGGGACGACACAGCTGCAGGTCTGATCCTGCTCCCCCTCCCTCGTGACACGTTTAAATCCGATTCTGTCCCCCTCACGGCACTCATCCTGCCCCAGCAGCTCTTGCTGTTTTCACTCTCACTGGTTCTGAGGGGCCTGTGTGTTCTCTCAGTCTCCACAGAGGAAGTACCCCCACCCCGATGACCCACTGGGACCTGACAGTGGCTGACAACCCAGCCTGACACACTCGAGTGGCCTCACTACTGCAGAATCACCTGTCCTCACGCTTCTGGACTCATAGCCTAGAACTGACCTGAACTCATAGTGAACTACTGTTAAAACCAGGACTTGGAACCTTGATCTTTGGTATCTGATCCAGTGCCATTTTCCTTAAAAATAAGGATTAACTCGACAGGCATTTATTAAAGAGCTGTTACATGCGAGCTCGTGTGGAAATAACTGTTTCTCCTTCCAGTAAATATCAGCGTTAACCTACCCTACCAATATAAATTCACAAACTAAAATGGCAAAAGTACTTAGTGGAATTGATACATTATTTATGTATAAACATAAATATATACGTGCATGTACACATATGTACACACACATATGGTTATGAGAAATTCTCTTCCGTGGAGACCTTGCACTTCAGAGTGAATACACTCGGGTACCTAGCAAGTCCAAGTGCCCAGGTGACTCTGGAGAATCTGCGATTATTATCAACGAGAGGATCAACTCCTTTTTCTTTCTACCATGTGCCAAGTGTAAAGAGTCCAACAGGTCCTCAATGTCCATTTTGTTGTTGAGAGTTGTTTAATTATAATGTTGATGAGATACCAAACTTAACTCTTATTTTTTTTGAATAGCCTGTGGTAAGATTGTTCTAATCACACAAGCTTTTGCCCCAATTCCAAGCGCCTATCTGTGAACTGAATTCATCTTGGGCCTATCATGTACCAGTTACATGATACTGGAAGATTACTTAACCTCTCTGACCTTCACGTTCCCCTCCTGTAAAATGCAGTTCCTTATAGGTCTTAACCCTCCTTATTGAAAGATTAAATGAGATAACCCACATAAAGCTTTTACCACAGTGGTTAGCAGAGAATCAGCTTTCTATAAAGTTAGCCAAGATTAAGAAAGAATAATCAGTAGAACTCAAATATAATTACTTCTCAGTTAAAAGTGCTTAATGCTGTAAAAGGTCACACATGAAATAAAACAAACACCTCTGGCTCTATTGGAATAATAGCAAAAAATCAAAAGGGCAGATTTTATAATGAATATGGCAACTCTGGGGAAGTGCCAGATTGTATTTTCTCAGTGGTTAAGTCCCTAAACGGTAACCAAGTACATGGCACACAACTTGCTGAGCTTCTGGATTTTCTTTGTTCAATTACTGTGGCCTCTAGCAAGCTGCTTCGCTGGGCCCCTGTCTCCCGTATGAAGAATGAAAGAGCTGGATGGGAGGAACTACAAGGCCCGAGCAAGTACTGCAGGTGTGACATTCATGCAGTGGAGAGCCTGGAGATGGTTGTCATGGTTGCAGTCTAGAAATTCTTGTCCAAAGCCAGCATTTTTATCCCTGCAAATGCACATGCCAGATTAATCTGATGATGTGTGGGACAAACTTAGGTGAAAACCGTCCAACAGACAGGCTGGTCTTCAGTTACCCCACCCCTCCTATCTCACCGAAATGGGTAACAGAAGAGAACTGAACTCATGAGCAGAACACTGATAAAAGTGTGGAGTGTTCCTAAGTGCAGCCAAATTCTTCAGATACAGGAAGGCAGAATGAAGTGTGTAAATTGAGACATTATTCAGAAGAAGCACAAAAGTTTTCATGCAAAGTATTCTTAGTACTCAGAAGGCCTAAAATTATTGATATGTAATTCTTTTAATCCTGTATAGATATTAAAAAAACTTCTACAAATTCACCAGGATTAACAGCAAAATAAATCAACTGACCTCTTTTGTTTTATAGAGAAAGAAACAGTGTTTCAGTAGCTCCAGTTGCAGAGCTAACAGGGGTCAAAGCCACGTTTTATAAATTTCAGTCCATGGCTTTTTCCACTGACACTAAATTTCATACACGACCCTTTCTTTTTTATCATTTCCTTTAGCACTGCAAATGAATCTGTGAGGGAAGCAAGCCGGGCACTGTTGCTCTCATGGATCACGTGGAGGAGGAGGCTCAGAGGAGTCACATGGCTTCTCCAAGTTCTAGCACCTGCAGGGGGTCTGATGCCCCTGGCCCTCTTCTTCCCCTCGCTACTCCTTCATCTGAACCAGCTCTGGATGCGTTTTTCACTGAAGCCTCACAAAAACCCCGAGGCTTATGTCATGGTTGTCACCTCCCACAAGAGAAAGGATTGCTCTGTCTGGAAGCCACGGACACTCACTCGTGCTGGTCTCTGAGCATTCTGACACTGAATACACAGTGGTGCCCAGCCAGCTGCTGCTATTACTTATGGAACTCTGGAAGAAATACCTGCCTCCGTATTCAACCAGCATTTACTGAAGGAGACTATGTGCCGGGTGCTGTACTACTCACTCAGGATTTAAGAACGTTGACATTGACTCAACCTTTAAGACACTTAATTACAGGGAGGTTAATAAACACCATCTCCTGAGAATAGTTCCCAGATCGTCCCAAGGGAAACCCCAGGAAAACCTGCTCCTAGATGGCCTGATTAATCTATTATTTCTATAACCAGGTCACATGACCTTTGACTTTGGCCTATTTGTTATGTCTCCAACTCCAGACCCCACTTTCCAGGCAAACTAGGCACAATGGACCTGAGATACCTCCATGAAGAAGAGAAAATCGCTCTTCAAAGACGTGAAGCCACTCGACAGGAGAAGCACAATTGGTAACAGATTAAGTTTTCTTATTCTAGAGCAGTTCTCCTTCATGTCCAATAACCTTTCCAGAGTCAGGTCCAAGGGTTTGCACATCACCCCGAGACTGGTCCTGCTGACTCACTACAGGCCGAGGAGGGCAACAGGATTGGTTCACAGAAACAGAGCATGAATAACCTGTTGGGACTTTTGGCCTTCAGAGAATCTGGGATTGGACAAAAGAACTGGGAAGGAAGGGTATAAGCGAAATCACAGGTCAGTGTGTTTCAACTTACAAGACCAGTCTCTTTCATCTCTTCTGTCATCTTGAACATGAATGCCACAGAGAACCACCCCAGGATTACAGAACACATAAACATTCGCATTCCTACAGAGAACAGTGGCTCTCATGTAACAGTCTGCACGTGTACCTGCTGGGTATACTTTGTCTATTTCTCTCAACAAGATGAATATGTACTGCTATCACTGATTCAGTATAATACAAATGTAACTGCACTGGACAGAGAAACATCCTTATAAATTAACATAAATAATATGATTGAACTTTTGCATTGTCTTCACTTATCTTGCAGAAGCATGGGAAACATAATTTTTTGAGTGAAAAATATTATCTTTGCAGCTAAGATTTTAGGAGAGTTTTGGCAGTGGAGATTCTGCAGTCACATTAAGAACAACATTCTCGGCCCTTATGTTAGAACAAAATAGTAACTGGTATACTTTAAGAAGGCCTTTTGGCATTGAAATGACAATTTTGACAATCATCTTCGGGATTATTTGGAGTCTGTCTTACC